TGCCATGAACATGCAAAAAAAAATTCATATATGATTGAATATACTCTCAGTGATCATATGAAGAATTTGGAATTAATATTAACATAAACTAATGCATTTCTTGGACTTTAAGTCCTTGTATTACAGTAGAATTGATGTTTATCACAGTGCTCCATATCAAAAAAAAATTCTAAAAGGGTCCAAGGGAATCAAGGGTAATGGGGAAAATGCAGGAGAGTGGACGTGCGGAATGTGGAATCAACCCTATGGAATGGTGCAGCAGGCTTGAGGGGCTGAATGACATCCTCTTTTTCCAACTTCTTATTGTTTCTTATGTATAAACCATGGGGGGAGCAATATCCATTGGCCCACTGGCAGTGCGTTTAAAGATTTTCAAAGATGTATGTACATGGTAGGCACAGGCATGATGGGCTGAAAGGCCTCTGTCTATACTGTAACTTCTCTATGGTTAATCTGCAACCTGTCACTAGCACATAGAACACTACAGCATAGGAACAGGCCTGTCAGCCCACCATGTCTGTGCTGACAATAATGTTGTGCTAAACTAATCCCATTTGCTTGCACAGGGTTAGTGTCCCTGTATTTTCTGCCTAAATGCCTCTCAAACCTTGCTGTTGTATCCGCTTCTACCCACCTCTGCTGGCAGCAGGTTCCAGGCACCTACCACCCTCTGTGTAAAAAACTTTCCTGGCACATCTCCTTTAAACTTTTCCACTCGCACCTTAAACCTATTCCCCTAGTATTTGACATTTCCAATCTGGGAAAGAGACTTTGACTATCCACCCTATCCATGCCTCTCATAATTTTACAGACTTCTATCAGGTTGTCCCTCAGCCTCCGACACTCGAGTGAAAACAATCCAAGTTTGTCCAACCTCTCCTTATAGCTTGTACTCTCCAATCCAGACAACACCTTCGTAAGCATCTTTCGTACTCTCTCCAAAGCCTACATATCCTTCCAGAAATGCAGCAACCAGAACTGTGCACAATACTCCAAATGTGGCCTAACCAAAGTCTGATACAGTTGCAACATGACTTGCCAACTTTTATATTCATTGTTATGACCATTGAAGGCAAGTGTGCAATATTCTTTCTTTACCATCTTATCTGCTTGTGTTAACACTTCCAGGCATCAATGGATTTGGACCCTCTGGATATCAATGCTCCTTAGGGTCTTGCCATTTACTCTATACTTTCCTCTTGTATTTGACCTCTCAAAATGCATCATCTCACACTTGTCTGGATTAAACTCCATCTGCCATTTCTCTGCCCAACTTTCCAGCTGATCTAAATTCTGCTGTATCATTTGCTATCCATCCTCATTACCCATAATTCCACCAATTTTCATGTCAGCTTCAAATTTACTAATCAGACCACCGACATTTTCATCCAAATCATTTAAATATATTACAAACAACAGAGGTCCTAGCACTGATCGTTGTGGAATATCTTATAGACCTGCAGTCAGAAAAATGCCCCTCCAGAATTACCCTCTGTCTCCGAGGGCCAAGCCAATTTTGTATTCAATTTGCCAACTCTCCATAGATTGCATACACTTTGATATTCTGCACCCACCAACCATGAGGGACACTGTTAAATGTTTTTGTAAAGTCCATGTAGATAACATATACTGCCCAACCCTCATCAATTATCTTTGTCACTTCCTCAAAAACATGATCAAATTTATGAGATAAGACCTCCCCTGCCTGAAGCCATGCTGACTGTCCCTAATAAGTCCATTCTTCTCCAAGCGCAAGTAAATCGTTGCATAACATTGAAAAAGTATTTTGATACGTACTTGCGATGCCAAGGCATTTGAGACTATGAGCCCAGTGCTGGACATGAGGATCAGAATAGTTAGGTGGTTACTTTTGACCAGCATGGATGTGATGGGCCGAAAGACATTTTCTGTGCCGTAGATTTCTACGACTCTATGACTCTTGCCACCTCAAAACCTGTCTCCTTATGCCTGGGAAGGTCGTACCTCAAGATTTTATTTGATTCAATTGCAAAGAAAAAGGGAGGTACTTATGCTGTTCAGAAGTTTACTGACAGTGTGGTATGTGTCCTCAATTTAATTGTATGAGCTATCATTGCAAATGCATCAATCGTTTGATCTTCTGCTGGATCTCTTTGCCCAGCCATTCGTGGCAGTGAGTGAAACTATTATCACCAACACTTTTGTATCCTGAGCTTATGCTAACATTCTCCACTCTACGATTCATTGAAGCTCTTAAACCTATGATGGGAAATGATCAGGTTGGTCATAGGCAAGTTGACTGCCACAATGGACGTTTTACATCCCAGCAGGCACAAGTTAAAAATTATCTCAATATTATCCTCTGGGATAAAAGATATTTAACTTGGTAAAATATTTGTAAAATTAAAATTTTGTTTTCAAAAATCTGTACTCCACAACATAATTTTAAGCCTGGAAACTCGAGATGGAGATTTTTTAAAAATTGTTTTGGTCGCAAAAACAGGAGGCCAGATGATTTTGTGAATGACAATAGATTGGGAAAGGAGGAGATGCAATGAGACTTTGGTGTCCTTGAACACGGGTCACTGAAAGTAAGTGTGCAGGTGCAGCAGACAGTGAGGAAGGCAAATGGTTCGTTGGCCTTCATAGCGAGAGAATTTGAGTACAGGAGCATGGACGTCTTGCTGTAATCGTAGTGACTTCACCCCTGGAATACTGGTCTCCTTACCTGAGGAAGGATGTTCCTGCTATGGAGGGAGTGCAGTGAAGGTTGACCATGTTGATTCCTGGGATGGTGGGACCGAGCCAGAAGAGAGACAGGATTGGTTACAAAGATATTCATTGGGGTTTAGGAGGATGTGGGGTTCTCATAGAAATCTATAAAATTCGGACAAGACTTGACAGGGTAAACCACAGGAAGGACATTGCTGATGAAAGGCTCACTGTTTAAGGATGCAGGTTAAACCATTTAGGAGTGAGATGAGGAGAAATTTCTTCACCCAAACAGTGGTTTGCCTGTGGAATTCACAATCACAGGAAGTGGTTGAAGCCAAAACATTGAATCTTTCAAGAAGGAGTTAGATATCATTCTTAGGGATAAAGAAACCAAAGGGTATTGAGGAGAAAGGATGCTGAGATGACCATACCGAATGGTGGAACAGGCTCACAGGGCTGAATGGCCAATTTCTGCTCCTATTTTCTATGTTTCTACACTTATATTTCAAAAGGTAATAAGCAATATGGAAAACAAATGCAGCGAAGCCTTTGGTGAAGAGATGACAGAAATCTTTGATGGTGGTCTTCCCTCAGCTGTAGCTGAGTTGAAGAACTGCCTCCAAAACTGGATTTCAAATCCCACTCCTGAGAGTTCAGCACAAAATGTAAGGTGACACTCCAATGCAGCATTGAAGAAATACTGTACTATCAGGTGCACTCCACTTTAACCAAGCTCCCATCTTCCCTTTCAGCTGGATGTAGAAGATCCCATGAGACTATCTGAAACAAGAGTGGGGAGTTCAACCCAGTTTTCTGTCAGCAATTAAAATCAAGAGTATTTGGTTATTGTCACACTGTTGTCCATGGAAGCTTGCAGCATAGAGTAGAACATAAGAACTACGTCCTGGAATAGGCAATTCAGTTTACTCATGGCAGATCTTGTCTGGGCCTCAATTCCACTTTACTGCCTTATCCCAGTAACATTTCAACTCATTACTAATTAAAAATCCATCGACCTCCTCCTTAAATTTATTCAGTGTCCCAGCGTTGACCATGCTCTGTGGTAGTGAATTCCACAGATTCACAGTCCTCTGAGAGAAGTAATTCCTCCTCATCTCCAACTTAAATCTGCTACCCCATATCCTAAGTCTCATTCTAGATTGCACTACATAAGGAAACATCCTTTCTATGTTGACTTTACCAACCCCTTTTATCATCATCTATACCTCAATTTGATCTCCTCTCATTGTTCTAAACTCCAGAATGTATAGGCCTAAACTGCTCAATCTCTCCTCATTAGACAAACCCTTCGTCTCTGGAATCAAGCCAGTGAGCCTCGTCTGGACTACCTCCAACACAACTACATCCATCCTCAAGTCAGGGGACCAAAGCTGTATGCAAAACTCCAAGGAGAGAACCTTTTGGCAATGAACAATTTCTTCTCTTATGTGATTGTTAGGATTTAGAATTCTTCACCCAATGAGCAGTGAGGGCTGGTTCATTGAAAATAATTAAGGCAAAGGTGGACAGGTATTTGATTGATCAGGGAGACAAAGGGTTACGTGGGAGGGCATTTCAGAATCAGATCAGCCATAATCTTATTGAATAGCAGAGCAGATTTGAAGGGCTGAAAGGCCTCATCCTAAACAGACACAGGTTTTGAGTCATACAGCAGAGTTATAGAAATCTACAGCACAGAAAAGGTCTCCTCCTTCTGCTTCTATATCTTGCTGCATGTTTATATTTTCTACATTCCCCTACATAGACTATGCTTCCAATAAGAGATGTGAAGATCTCTGAGATGTTCCCAGGTCAACAAAAAGGGCAAACGTTTGTGTTTCATTCTACTCAATGGCGCGAAATAAACTGTCATCTCATTATTACACATAAAACAGCCAGAACTTTTGACAAAGTATTGACCAGCAGTCACAAATCAAAGGAAGGGATGTTGTTGGATTCGTCATTCTACGTTTTATTACATGGAATTTTGATTTCATTTGGTCAAACCTCTTGATCACTAATCCTGTCACAGACCAATTTTGCTATTACATCCCAGGAGTTTAAGTGATTCTGGATATTCCTGGGAGCTGCTATACAAATGGAACATCTTTCCTTCAAACAATGTGAAGATATGGAGGTTGTGTTGACATGCAAAGATGTTCCTAAGTCATCTTTTTGTTCTGCGAACTCAAGCAAGTTTGTGAATGAAAAATGCTCCAGGAGTAATAATCTTGGTGGACATGAGAATCAACCCTTCCCTTTAAAGTTTATGACAATTCACTCGAGGAATTCCATCAGATACCTACCCATCACGAACAGCTTCCTTCTTCTCCAGGTCTTGAATGACATCCAGTAAAACTTTAATGGTTTGCTGGCTAGTCTGTAGGACATCCTCCATTGTCTGTAACCGGGACTGGAGAGATGTGATCTCGTGCTGCGTGGAGCAACCTGACTTGGCTCTTTGTTTGCCCGCTGCACGCGGCATCTCCTTCAGATCGTCCTGAGGATTTTTGCGACTGGGCACCAGTTCCAGCGAGTCATCAGGACGTGACAGCGGGGGTCCCGAATGGCTGGACTGGATGGCAGGTTCTCCACATTGGGCAGAAGTCTTTGAAGGCAGTTGCGATGCCTCGCCGTGCACTGGGGACAATCCTGATGGGTTCGGAGTCAAGGGGCAAGGTTCTAATTGTTCAGTCCGATTGGAAATACTAGGCTGTCTGGGGCTGGTTATGGATGCTGGGCTTTTTAAGCAGGACTTGCGGTAGACACAAGGCTGGTCCTTGAGGAGAGGTTGACTCATATTGTAGAACTCAACCTTTCTGGGCTCGGAATGGTTACTGTCCAAGTCAGAGGTCGGTGCTTTTAATTTGCTGCATGCCCCTGGTCTCAGTGAGAATTGATTGGTTGGGGTTTCTTTGGAAGGTGGTGGACTTGCCTTGGAGTTTAATGAGCATGATTGGATGGAAGGGCTTTGTGAATGGACTGCGACGTCACTCTTTGCTGCACAGTGCTGCCCGGCTATCAGTGTTTTGTGGTCCTGTTCTGTCAGAGTGTCAGGTGTGTCTTTGCAAAGCGTAGCCTTGTCCTTAACGCGAGGAGATACAGTCGAGCCATTAGGGCTTTGGCCATGAGCATCCTCAGACGTCCGCTCACTCTGCTGAGAGCTCAAGGCTGGGTCGGGATCCGCGCAATTACTCAGCGGCGCTCCGGCCCTCTCCGCTCCCCTCCCGTTGATGGCAGTGGCTCTGTTGACGCCCTCAGGTTCTCCTTGCTCTTCCTCCTCCTCCACCTCCTCACGAGCGTCAGCCACCCTCGTCTCCCCTCCCACCCCAGGCAGGGGAGCGGACGGTAATGCTAGGCCGTCCTGCCGTTCGCCTGGCTCACCAAAATCGCCGACGCTTTTGCTCCGGAACCGGAACGCCCCAAACTGCTTCTGGAGGCTGGGGGAGGTCTGAATGGCGGTGCTCGTGCAGGCTTTCCGGGGATTGGGAAGGGTCAGGGAGCACGGCCGCGCCTGCTGCCAGTTCCTCTGGGAGTTTGCGATCGGTTCCGTCTGCCTGTCAACCTCCGGCCCCTGAGCAGACGTCTCGGGGGTCTTTCTGCCTCCCGCTTCATCAGGACCCTCAGCAAGATCCTTGAAGCGAACCTGCTGGGTCTTTTGACGCCTCCGGTGTTGCCTCCTCTCAGCTTCCGATGAGCCCGCAGGATCCCTCTTAAGTAGGACAGATCTGACAGTCATGGTGTGGTCTGAGTTGAAGTGGACACTCGAAACCAGTGAATGGTTTGTTTCTTTACTGACCATTATCCCCCGGCCACAACAGTTTGGAGAGAAATGGAAGTATTCACCACTTTTCCAGGAGGCCTCAGAATCCTGGGCTTCCAGTTGGATGAGAATGAACAGGTGACTCTTGAGCCACATCTGCTACTGGCCAAAAGGCACAGTCCATTCCCCAGCAACTCCCCGCAAAAACTCCGACTTTCCGAAGAGTTATGGGATGCTCGGGAGAAGCACACAATTCATCACACGTCACCCGAGGAGGGAATTGTTAGTTCCAGGCCCTAAATCTGTGAAGCTGTCGGCGTTATTTGGCTGCAACGTCACTGAGAGAGACATTCCCCAACCTCTCAGACACCTCCCACCCACCTGAAGCTAGGGGCAGCTGATCAGGCGCTGGGTACGTCTGAGGTCTCTGCTCAACAGCTCCACCCGATGGAAGCACTCAAACTCTGCCACGAGGGGACGAGCAGGTGAAGAGTGTCGTGACGCCCCTTTCGGTCCTTCCTATCCCCCGTGCCGCATGCCTCCTCTGAGCCCCGAGGGAAGCAAATCGACTCGACTCTCCGGTAGGCACCACCGTGTCGGCGAGGGCATTTGTCCGTGCGGTGAGTTCGGAGATCGAACTGTCGACTGTCCCTGTGCAGGCAGTGTGACTGGTGGAGCGCTGTCATCTTCCCCTCCCTCCCTGCCACGCTTTGACGCACATTCAAGTTCAAACCGGCTCCATTACTTCCAAGCAGACCCTGGGTGAGCTAATTCCCTCCCGTTGTCAGGTTACGATGTCTGGATGCCAGGCAATTGCAGTGTCAGGACCTAAATGGGTAGAAGTGAAGGGACACAGCAGACATTAGTACTCACGACACACATGTCCTGAAAGCATTTCAGAAGCAATTGACTAGAAACTTGGTACAGCCATCTCAAACATTGCTGCATTGCCCCTAATTTTTTTTTTTAACTTTGAGTTTCTAACCACATTTCTGAAGTCATTGTCAGGAATGTAGCTGACCTGGAACACTGTTTGTAAAATGTGAATAGATCTCCCAATACAGCTGTCCGCTCTCTCTTCCACCCTATTTCCTGACTCACTGTGAGGTTCTTGCCAATGGACAAATCTAACTCCCATCCTACGATCTGATCTGTGTCTTAGTCCTGTCTCACAGCCAAAACACAATTGACTTGTTACTTACCATCTGCACAGTGAGACTGTCTATCTTGAATGGCCTTGCCCCAATTCAGTCCAAAAGTGTTGAGTCACATGTGCATTAAGGGAAAGGCTTCATTCTTTATAAAGATTCACTTTCAAGAGAGTTTCATTGTTCCGTTTGTGTTATATGTTGTATATCTCAGAGCTATGCATTACATGTAATAGATTCTATTCACAGTGGATTAGAAGAGTGGCATAGTGGTTAGCACTGCTGCCTCACAACAACAGGGACCTGGGTTTGATTCCACCCTCGGGTGACTGTCTGTGTGGAGTTTGCACATTTTCCCCGTGTCTGTGTAGGTTTCCGCCAGATGCTCTGGTTTCCTTTCACAGTCCAAAGATGTGCAGTAAATTGCCCGACAGTGTCCACGGACGTGCAGGCCAGGTGGATTAGCCATGGGAAATGTGGGGTTACTGGGCTCAAATAGCGGAACTGGGGCAGGGTGAGGGTGGGATGATCTTTGGAGGGTTGGTGTGGACTTGATGGGCCTGCTTCCACACTGTAAGGATTCTATGATTCAATGCTAAATTGTTGTCACGTGCAGGCTAGGTGGATTAGCCATGGGAAATTTAGGGGATAGGGTGAGAGGTTGGTTCTGGGTAGGATGTTCTTCAGAGGGTTGATGTACACTCAGTGGGCTGAATGGCCTCTTTCTGCACCATCAGAATTCTCCAACTCGAATGTCTACATCATACTTCAGGTCTGCCATCCAACAATTTCCACCATTTGTTCAGAGTTTTTCAGGCTTTTTCCAGGCTTAACCAATCAAGCACAGTGAGCATCAGTCATAAACAGTCTCATGTGATCAAACATGGAGCAATTGAGTGTGACAGTTTGTAAAACAAATTCTAATCACAGAATATTTTAGCTGTGAAATGACTCATTCCATCATTTTACCTTTGGAAAGGCATTGTCGTAGATTTGGAACATTTTGGAGATTTTCAGAGTTATTCATATTCGAATCAATTCCAGATAATTGTATGAGATTAATATTTTGAAACATTCAAATTTTATGTATCCAGAGTGAATGAGGTAATTAACAAACAGATAGGAGACACAGAGAGAAAGTATTTCCATTTCTTTAGGGAATCGAGGACTTGGAGGCAGAGTTTCAAAATAAAAGCTAGACTGAAGTTATGACACACCTCCAGGCACAAACTTCATTTGAAATTTGGGACTATTTTGCCCAAATATTACATCAATAATTCCAGAAATGTTAACTCTCTTTCTCTCTCCGTAGATGCGTCCAGACCTGCTGAGCTTTTCCAATGATTTCTGATTTTGTTGCTATCCTTGCCTGGTCTGGCCTTCGCAGACACAGCAATGGGGTTGACTATTAACAATTAGGTGTGGGCAATAAATGCTGGCCTACCCAGTGTTTCCCTCCTCCTGTGAAGAGAGATAATAATTTAGAAAATATCATGTCAGACATGATTGAATGGGTAAATGGACTAATTCTGTTCTTATATCTTATGGTCTAAGATCAGGCAGAGTCAACTTGGTTTTTAAAAGGAAAGTTGAGTTTGGTTAATGCAATGGAGTTATTTGCGAAATGAAGATGGATAAAGGGGAACCTGTTGATGTGGTACACCTGGAACTTCCAAAAGGCATTTGATAAACTGCCATATCATGTGTAATGTCACAAAGCAAGAGCTCATCATAATATAAGCCTGGATAAAGGGCAATGGGAAACAGACAGCAGGAATAAATGGAATAATTTTCCAATTGACAAACTGTAATCAGTGGAATGCCGCAGAATACAATGCCAGAGATTTAACCATTTACAATCTGTATTTGTGACTTAGAGTTATAGAGATATGCAGCATCTGGAAACAGACCCGTCTGTCCAACTCGTCCATGTCAACCAGATATCCCAAATTAATCTCGTCCACTTTGCCAGCATTTGGCCCATATGCCTCCAAACCCTTCCTATTCATATACCCATCCAGATGCCTTTTAAATGTTGTAATTGTACCAGCCTCTACCACTTCCTCTGGCAGCTCATTCCATACACGCACCACCCTCTGCGTGAAAAAGTTGCCCCTTCGGTCCCTTTTAAATTGAAAGAAGGGACTGAATGTATGGTGGCTCATTTTTGTTAATGATGCAAAGATAGGTAGTGAAATAAATGATCAAGACGATATGCAGAATCAACAAAGATAATAGATTAAGTGAGGTGGGCAAAATTTTGGTAGATGAAGCATAATGTGGACAAACTCGTCCACTTTAGCAAAAGGAAGAGAAAAACAACGTAGTATTTAAATATGGAGAGACTGCTAAACTTACCGGTACAGAGGGATCTGATAGACGAATCACAAAGCATTAGTATCAGCAAGTGATTAGGAAGACAAATGGGACATTTGTTACAAGCATTTATTACAAGAGGAGGTATCTATAAATGTAATAAAGTTTACTAGCTGTTGTCACCGGATCTCCCTTGATTTGCCTCTTCTCAGTGCCAAGAATTTCTCCACCAGCCTTCATGTGTCTAAACAGGCAATTCCCGACCCCCAGATCAGGTCTATAGCGAGACTGCCTTTGGAGTACTGAGTGAAGTTTTGACCTCCTTTGAAAGGACATAATTGGATTAGAAATTGCACAGAGAATGGCCATTAACTGTTTCACTGGATATACGAAACTATTTTATGAAGAAAGGTTAAACAGGTTGGGCTTATAACCATTAGAGTTCAGAAGGATGAGAAATCTATATCTTATTGAATGATGTAAGATCCTAACTGGGTGGATGCTAAGGAGATAACTTCCCTTTGATTGGTTTGGTGGTGGGAGTGCAGAATGATGGGAACCACTTTAAAAATGAAGGAGGACTAGATAAGGAGAATTTTCTTCTCTCGAAGAAGATTGTTAACCTTCAGAATTCTCTTCACCAGAGAATTAAAGCTGGATCTTTGACTGTATGATGGAGTTTTAACCATCAAAGGAGCGAAAGGTTATAGGAGAGCAACCAATAAAGCTGAGGCCACAATCAGATCAGTCTTGATTGTATCAAACGGTGGAGTCCTATCAAGGGACTGAATGCCTTCTAATTCTTGTGTTTGTGCATTTTCTTATTTCTTGTTGCTCAGCCAATTTTGTCATCATCCAGGACAAAGCAGCCTGCTTGATTAGCCATTTATTTCTTTTAGCATTAATGCTTAGAAGCAGCAGTGTGCACCATGTACAAGATACACTCCAGTAACTCACCAAAGACTGCTTCACCTTCCAAGGCACAACTGCTACCATCCAGAAGGACATGGGAACCCCACCTCTTGCAGGTTACCCTCCAAGGCATTCACCAACCTGAGTTGAAACTACATCACTGTCTACATCATCCTTCATGGTCAGTGGGTCAAAATGCTAATATGCCCTCTCCAACAACACAATGTGAACTGAAGTGGTTCATGAAGGCGGCTCACTAGGGATTGTCAATAAATAGCAGCTTTGCCAGTGACCTGCATGTCCCATGGACGAATCAAAGGAAGGAATGGCGGAAAAAAAAAACTCGCTGTTCCCTTAGGGATCTTTTGATATGCCTGAGAAGAGTGCATTGAGTATAGAAGTTGGGAGGTCGTGGTGCAGCTGGACATGACATTGGTTAGACCACTTGTGGAACACTGCATTTATTTCTGGTCTCCCTGCTGTTGTGATGTTGTGAAACTTGGAAGGATTCAGAAAAGATTTACAAGGATGTTGCCCAGGTTGGAGGGTTTGAGCTATAGGGGGAGGCTGAATAGTCTGGGGCTTTTTGTCCCCGGAGCATTGGAGGCTGAGGAGTGACCTTATAGAGGTTCATGAAATCATGAGGGGCATGGGTAGGGTGAATAGTCAAGGTCCTTTTCCCAGGGTGGGGGAGTCCAAAACTAGAGGGCGTAGGTTTAAGTTGGGAGGGGAAAGATTTAAAAGGGACCTGAGGGGCAAATTTTTTCATGCAGAAGGTGGTGCATGTATGGAATGAGCTGCCAAGGAAGGTTGTGGAGGCTGTATATAATTACAACACTTGAAAGGCATCTGGATGGGTATATGAATTGGAAGTGTTCAGAGGGATATGGGCCAAATGCTGGCACTTGGAACTATATTAATTTAGGATATCTGGAGTTGGACCGAAGGGTGTGTTTCTGTGCTGTACATTTCCATGACTGTATGACTCGAAGAGGTAGCCTTTCATTGGCTTACAGCTGGCAGGGGATAGATCCTCCTGATGCTTCAACAAGATTCCGTTACTGATATGGGGAGGTAGGTGGTGGTAATGTTACTGGACTAGTAATCCAGCAGCTGTGCTGACATAGGTTCTGGAGTTATAAAGCTACTTTCATTGATGACTATTATCAATTCCTATTTAAACAAAAACTAAATCGATCTTGCTTGCTGACATCTTTTAGACAAGGAAAGTGTGTCACTTTTAGCTGTAACTATCCACATGTGAATCCAGAACCCAGCAATGTGGCTGAATGCTAACTGTCCTCTGGCATGGTCTAATCAGCCATTCAGTACAGTCAAGGATGGCAACACCTCAATAAAGAAAAGCAGTTTCAGATTAACTGGTTGTATTGTAATGTACAACGCATCACAGTTTCCTGGGGCAAAATGGACAGATCAGAGGGACTTTGTTCC